TGTATATATGTACTCATAAAAGAAAATTCCAAGAAATATATACATATATATCCATCACCAAATGAACATATTGCATATAACCCACCACCAAATTATGACTCATTATTAAAAATTTTAATAAATCCATCATATTAACAAACTGTTAACATTTTTACAAATATAATATATTAAGTTAATGTGATCTTTTTATATCATTTATAAATGATAATTGATTCAGAAGTAGATATGGTATTATCTTACCTTTTTAGATGTAGCTCCTACTTTACTCTTCTGTGTACCTCTAACCTTCTTCATTCTGTTCTTACGTTCCTTACGCTGTTTTCTTGTTTGCTTGTGTTTCTCAAATAATCCATGCCTAGCTAACCTGTATTTAGGTTCAAACTTCTTTGCAAAGTCTAATGTATCATAGATAAGTGCAAATCCAGTTGATTTGCCACCACCAAAATTAGTTTGGAAACCAAATACGAAAACTACATCTGGTGTAACTTTGTACATTTTTGCTAATTTTTCACGTATTTCTGTTTTGCGGACTGACGGATGCCCAGGGTGGAATACATCTACAACCTATAAAACATATTATTATATACATGTGAAAAACCTCATAAACATTAATTCGTAAGTATAAGCCCATAATTATTCAGCTCTATTACATGAATTACCAATATTATACTAATAAGCAACAGATTACTACAGCTTTATGTACACAAAGACAAATAAAATAAAAACAAAACATCCAAGCATATTTATTTTTGATATGATAGTGGTAATAAAAGTTTATGTAAATACATACCATTTGTTTTCGGCATAGTAACCGATTGCTCATAAACTTCCTGGTTCTAATTGTAACTGCACCTTCCGTCTGTAATCAGAGTATAAGATTTTGAGGTTATATTTTGTTTAACATTATTTTGAATATAATTATATTGCTTAAATACCAGCATTTAAAAAGAAATGAAAATAATTCATTTTATAATTTTATTCATATAATCAGACAAAATATTTTTATTCACGTTTTTAATTTTTATAAACAATGCTACAGTGCTAGTGAAGTACTCACATTATAATCAAATAAATATTAAATATTGATTCAAATGATATTTATAAATTATATTCACAAAAAACGAGTAATGATTCATCATTGACAACATTTTATATGAAAATTGCAAAATTTTTTCAATGATTAAAGAATAATTTTGGGATACAAAATACATACCATTTTGCTCGATTATCGTACCGCCAGCTAAAGGACAGTTACGGAAACGCGTAGCGCAATCTACAGTCAAATTCTGCTTTACACTAACTCTATGTGACTAACAATAAATTTTATCTTGTTTTGTTTGCAAATTAACTATTTAATCAAAACATATACTTTTTTTTAATAAATCAAAAAGCTATATAAAGCCAATGAATATCTAAAAAAATATTACATTATTACAGCTCAACGTGTAATAATGTGATACCGTTTTCTATTTAGGGATTTTTGGTACGTATCTAATAAAATATCTAGAATTCTGTAAAAAATATTTAAAATTCAACATATGTTATATCACTCTGGAACAATATATTACTCAAACTAAACAATTTTCAATTTCCAGCATATTTGTTTTTCTAAATTAGTATCTCATTATAAATATAATGGGTATAACTTCCTTAAATGAATTATTCATAAAAACATTTTTTAATATTTAAGCATATAGAAACAAATTGATATTAATTTATAAATGCTTTCGTTTTGATATAAAAGTGAATTCTTTGCAATGCTATATTATCTACAGAGTAGAGGAACAAGTTTTTATGAAATTCTCAGAAAGACCGTAATTGCGTTTGGCGCTGATTGCAGTTCTCTATCTGTCTGATTGGTTCCCTTTCGAGTAACGTCCATTACTCTTCTAGGAAGTTTCGAGAACGGGTACGAACGGTAATATTGGTGAGAGTTCTATGCGCTTACAACAGTTCGCCAAATACTATTACGTGGAGTGAGACGAGCGTTTACAGCACACGGATATTTTCCACGAGCGGCTTCTTTTCTGCTAATACAGGTGAGATGAAGCGCTGATAATTGTGAATTTAAGAATATTTTAGAAAATATGCGCAGACGATAGAAATTTCGTCGTTGAATCGTACGATCGATTGCGAGCTTGTGAATTTTTCTCGCGATAGAAATTCGCATAACGTTAACGTGCAAAAGCAAGTTACGTTATAACATTTCTAAATATTAAAGGATACTAATGCAATTTTAACGCATTTTCAACGATTATCAAATTTGAAGTGGACGTCTGAAGATTGAATAATTAATGCATCTACGAGAACATTACGAAATACGCGTCAATGAATTTTATCATAGTACAAGTTGTGCTCGTCCATGACTCGCACTTTAACGTTGAAAAATGGTGGATGCTCCTATTGCCCTACTCGTGTCAGTACGAAACGTGGTTAAAGTCATTGAGTATGCTTGTCATTGAAATATAATAAGTTACAATTACAGTTATTATTTCGTGTATAGAGCTCAAGTTATGACTTCTTATTAATTTTTCTTTTTAAAAAAATCATTATTTTGGCATTTTTTGTCCGATCTTTAACCGGTAGTCTAAGCCTTCTATATGCATATGTATATGTGTATATATATATGTATATGCGTTAACAGAAGGATCTAGAAAGTGTGGTGTTCTTTGTTCATGATACGACGAACAGTGCGTTACATTGAAACAGGGTATTAATTTCCTTTTCCATGTAAAATAATTATATTTTACCATCTTAAAATGGTTCCCGTCGCCATTTTGAAACCAAACACGCACATGGATACAATTTGCTGGACTTTTCTACGGGCGTATAATTAATACGCGTTTTGAAATCTATATACATTGATTATAGTATTTTTATTTAATTTGAAGTTACTTGCAAAAACTTAGTGCTGTAAACAGTTAAAGATTTTTTTTATGTATAATTTCAACTTGTTATATTACTATTAAAATTAACAATGCTTAAAGTACATAATTTAATTTTTAAGATACATATATTACGTATAAACGTATGAAGTCTTTTAGTGTTTTATGGAAACAAATATCGGAACTGCTTTATTTGAATATTTTAGACGCAATAAACGTGATGCAAATTGTATTTTCAATTATATATTTAAATTCTATCCATAATTGTACTGAACAATATTATTTGATGAATTCTAATTGTAATGTACAACATTTTATGGTTAATTGATTCATGATATACGTGTCTTCTGAATTAACAAGTCAAATGAGAAGCGGTATATTGTGTAAGGCATCTAATTTTTTTTGTTAAACCACTTTAAAGAAAAAATAAAGACTAAGAATAATAAAACAAATAATAGTTTTGCAAAAAAATATTTGTTTTGTTTGTAAAGTATACAATGTCATCATAAAAGTGATACGACAATACATAATAAAGTATACAATACATAATATGGTAGTAATTTTATGTCATTATGATAATATACATATCTATATTCACAAATTGATGTATTGCATATATGGACTCAATAAAATGCCTCATATAATATTTATTTTACTAAAATGTGTTTATATGTTTTTATTATCAATATTGATATAAAAAATGTGTAATAATTCTTGTTTTATTATTTTTAATCATATCCTTTATATGTATGTATGTTTACTTCATTCTTTTTCCATTTAATATCATCCAGAATGTATTTCTGTATTGTATAATGTATTTCTAATGTTATGGGATATCAGTTATTTAGTAGTTATTATTTCCATAAGAGGTATTTTATTGTATATCATTAAATGTCAGATAGATTTTTTGTTTACATGTTTTGATATAAGAAAGAATATTGTATACCTATTAATTAAATATTAATTCATATCACTTAAGTCAGTACAATTAATAATTTCATGTATCTTATTTATTTAATTTAGAATCTTAATCATTGTTTAACATAAATCATAATTTAAGAGAATTGTTACATTTAAATATGTTATTTTAAATCAAATGTTAATAATTATAAAGGCATTGTAACATCTAATTATATTAAAGTATATAATCATATCAACATTTTCACCTTGTTTAATCATTAGCAGGTGCAGTATTAGTGTTATACCTAAAGACCATCAGAGAAAAATAAATCCATAAAAATGGTGAAGGAAACTACATTTTACGATAGATTGGATGTAAAACCTGGATGCTCACAAGATGATTTAAAGAGGGCTTATAGGAAACTTGCTCTGAAGTATCATCCTGATAAGAATCCTAATGAAGGAGAAAGAGTTAGTATCCATTTCTTGAAATTATCATATACAAATGTAAATATTATGGAAGTTTGATTATTAAATCTTATTTTCACATTGCAGTTTAAGCAAATCTCACAAGCTTATGAAGTATTGTCGAATCCTGAAAAGAAGCGAATCTATGATCAGGGTGGAGAACAAGCTTTGAAAGAAGGTGGAGGAGGTGGCAATATATTCTCTTCACCTATGGACATCTTTGAAATGTTCTTTGGTGGAAGAGGTGCTCGTAGGAGAGAACGTAGGGGACAAGATGTTATGCATCAGTTGTCTGTTTCATTGGAGGAACTATATAAAGGCACTGTTCGCAAATTAGCCTTACAGAAGAATGTTATTTGTGATAAATGTGATGGTACATATTATTTTTTTTAGAAGTATCTACTAAAAGTTTTACAGAAGACAAAAAGGTTATATATTATGCATTTATTAGGTATTGGCGGCAAGAAAGGTTCTGTAGAACAATGTGCAACATGCCATGGTACTGGTATGCAAGTTCAGATACAGCAACTAGGACCTGGTATGCTTCAGCATTTGCAAACTATGTGCACAGAATGTAAAGGTCAAGGAGAACGCATAAATCCACGTGATCGTTGTAAAAATTGTGGTGGCAGAAAAACGATTAGAGATAGGAAGATTTTGGAAGTTCATGTTGATCCAGGTATGGTAGATGGTCAGAGGATTGTTTTCAATGGAGAAGGTGATCAAGAACCAGACTACGAGGCGGGAGATATCATTATTATTCTTGAAGAAAAGGAACACGATGTTTTCAAGTTAGTATATTAAGGATTATTATATTTAACAATATTACACCAGATGTTACCTGTATACTCACTGGTATACTATTTTAGGCGTTCGCGTAATGATCTAATTATGAGGATGCAATTAGAACTGGTAGAAGCTCTATGTGGGTTCCAGAAAGTTATTCGTACTTTGGATGGAAGAGATTTAGTAATAACTTCATATCCTGGAACTATTACAAAGCACGGAGATTTGAAGTGCATTATGAACGAAGGAATGCCAATTTACAGAGATCCTTTCACACATGGCAGGCTTATAATTCAATTTGTAGTGAACTTCCCAAAATCCTTGGACCCTTCTATTATTCCAACTCTCGAACAATGTTTACCTCCAAGGGAAGGGGTTGTAATTCCAGAGGGAGCTGAGGAATGTACTCTTACCGATTTGGATCCAGAACAAGAAGCAAGGCGGAGAGATCAACGACAAGTGTACGAGGAAGATGAAAGTGGTCCCTCGCGAGTCCAATGTGCCACACATTAATTCAATTACATCAATCTCACAATAAATATGGTCATTCTTTTATTTTAAACTTTTGTCCCATTCGCTCGATTCTGAATCATGTATTAACAGAAGAACGACAAAATGCGGACGTATAGGAAAGTTCTTCAAGGTAAATGATAAGAACCTGAGAAAAATGTTTAGATATGTGCACGACTGTGAAAGCTACACCTATAGAATCACCAACGATTCTAACGCAAAGATCACACACAAATATTGAATTGTATAGAAGACCGTTGATGTTGCTTGATGATACATGTATTATCCCTTCTGAATTATACTATAAATTTTGGTGAAACTGATAAACTGGTTACAATTAGTTCATCGCTTGCTGTAGAAGTATAAAAAAAAAAAAGTACTAATCATTAAAGAGAGTGATAAGGAAAGGTAAATTTACTCAACATCTAATGTAACATTGTGCGACGTTCCTAGTGAACGCAAAACATAATTGTATCATTACCGCTGAAAATTCTTATTATCTTCTGCTATTTCTGATTTTGTTTTTATTTAGCAGTTTCCAACACTGATTGATACGCGCATACTGAATGCTAGAAATAAAGTTAGACTGTCGAACGAAATTAGTACCTTATCTGCATTTGTATTTCCTAAAGTTCTTTAAATTATTAATATTTGATTACATGAACTTTTTGAATTTAGCTCTATGTCTGCATTAATAACACGATAACGACGAAAGTAGTACGAAATGTTGGTGAAAACTTGCAACAGTAATTAAATGTTCGTTGTAGTTTTAATTACAGACTCCGAAATTGCTTTTCTTTCCAAATGGGACATTATTCCATTACATGTAGCGTTTAATTTGTTTATAGTCTCATATACTAACGTATGACGACATTGACAAAAATATTTTTGTTTATCAATAATGCAAGGAAAAAATGAGGTTCCTGTGTGTGAGAAAGTGGACTACTGCGCGTATTTACAAATATTGTTTGTTGCAATAAAAGCAAATGTTCCAGTATTTACTTATAATTATAGTACTGGAACTAAAAGTAAAAGTGTAATTAGTTTCTGAAAATTATATTTACTAACTTTATTAAGATGCTACTCTTGTATAACATTTCGTCTGTTTATTCAAGTCAAATGATGCGCGCGTGAAGAAATGTCCATTTCAATGATCGTAAGTCTACATTAAATTAAATACGCCTTTAATATTCACATAATTTACTGTATACAAGGTCATGTACTCGTCCGCAATTACTATAGCGAATTTAAATAGACGCGTATTATAATCTTATTTATTATAGATAAATTGGTGATTGATTAGTACGTTTTTGAATCGTCTCAAATAAATTGGAAAAAGTATAATGTCAAATATGTAAAAAAGAACAAAAAAAAAAAACAGGTGTTTTGAAATTTGATCTTTGACCCCACACGTGTATGTCATACTCCAGTTTTCTTTATATCCATTGAACAAAATTATTTTCTTTAATTTTTAACTTTTAGTTTACGGTCACAGTTGTATATATAAAGTAATACGGTTTAAGCATTATTATAATTTGCAATATTTTTATTCGGAAGAAGAATACATCAAATGGAAGATTTGTCATGCATGTATAAATCTGAACAGAATACGCATGCGAGTGTATTAAATAGTGCCGTTCATGAGAGGTAACAATGTTAACGTGCCTTTGAGTTACGTAGAATAGCCTAACGATGGCGATATAATCGCAGCGAGGGTCGATGTTTTTGTAACGTGCGTATACGAGTGCCCGAAAGCCAGCCGTCGAGATGCCGCAAAGGTTTCTGGGTATGCGGAGGGAGCCATATTTTTCCAATATCAGTTACGCGAAAACAGCGTACGCATAGCATCTGCAGAATGGAATTTCGTTCAGTAGGTTGTGTCGAAGCAGTGTTTTACGAAAGAAAGTGATTATAAAGCAGACGACGAGGGTTCAGTGCAAGAAAGCGAGGCAACTGTGCTAGTCAGAATATAATAAGCGTGCGTCTCCACGCGATCAAGAAGTGAGGTTCGGTGAAAACGATGAGCGCGGTCCGCGCAGGTGTTCGAGTCGAGAAGAGGGTTAGTTAACTTAACCCGAGTTCGTAACCGCGACCGGTGGTAGTGGTGGTGGAGGCAGTGGTGGTGGTGGTGGTGGTAGTGGTGGTGGTGGTGGTGGTGCTGGTGGTGGTGGTGGTGCTACTGCTGCTGTGACGATGACACAGCGTCATAACACGACGTACGTCCGTCCGTGCGATTTAACGCGAATTGTTACGGCAATATAAAGTGTTTTTTGTACCAAGAGTGCATTCGCGCTATTACCGATCGAACGAGTCGTGGCTCGGTCGCGATTAACCTTACACGTATTCAGTGTCGAAGAAAATGGCTTTCTTCTTTAGTGTGTGAACGAAGATTCGGAATAGCGTATTTTTTCAGTGACAGTGGTTCACAATGACATAATTGAGTGCCATTCATCGTTCTGCGTTGAAAAGTGCGTACATGTGAAACGGAGTAATCGGAACTGCGACCGCGAATAACGCGACGGGACCGTGGCAATGACACAACGACCTCAACTGACTTTCTTACAAAGTTAAAGTTTTCTTGTTTATAAGTGTTGCGTTTGTTCTTTTTGCCACCATAGTTGACTTAAATGTTGTTTGTCGGTGTGTGCAACGTTTGAAAAAGTGTCCTATCTCACACAGTTATCCAGTGTACAACCTACACGCGTTACGAATATACAGCGTGTTCAAGAGTCTAGGTTAGTTGAATGCTTGGCCCCATTGTGTTGTTTCGACGCGAGTGAATCGGTGAACGAGGCAAATGAGTGAGCTGTTGCTTTGCAAATCGACCTTGTGAATGACAACAGAAACGTAATTTCCTAGTAAACAATGTTATGCGTTTGCTTTACATTGAGTTTAGTGGGTATGAAAATTACGAAGGAGTTAATCTTGCTGTACTTCCTCTTGTAAATGTCACGCAATTTATTTAAGAAAATATGATTTACTTATTTGCTATAAGTAAATATTTAATTTCAAGACATTCTCTCGTGGAAGAAATGTGCAGGCCCGTGTGAGCATTTTCGGAACGTGGTAAAAAAAAAACGAAATACGTCGACCAAATATGGAGTGTGTTTGAATAACCGTATTATTTTCTTACAAAGTTTTAACCGTTTTAAGGAAGGCAAGAAGAAATATTATAACCGGCTACCGTAATTTCACTGTGATCTTCGTTGTTGCATCATAATTCTGAATAACCAACGAAACTAGTATCATGGTAGAGTGCACCGATCGCGGGAGAGGTTAGACGGGCATTGACCGGTGAATAGCGCGTGTCTGTCGTCCGTCGGATGTTCTCCAATTTTAAAATCTTGGCACCGTTATCGCAAGTGTGTGTGGTCAACTACGGGGATAGTGTTTGTGAGCGTATGTGTGACTTGAAAATTTTTCACGAGAATAGGAAAAGAGTGTAAGAACAGCTGGTGGAACTACCCATCTGGCATGCCGTGCGCGGTGAAGCCAAGGATGTCGAACAACGAGAACGTGCACGACAGCTGCGAGATTCCAAGGATCGGTGAGCGTGCGTGGCCAAGAGGAACGACCGAAAGAACGCGGTGGATTTCGGTGGTGGCAAACGCGTGATCATTCCCGTTTATGGAGGATGCTGCAAGACTTGGAGATATCTCCACGTAGGCGTGCTACCTGCGTTCCAGTGATGTCGGTGTCGGGGTTACTTGCAGCGCTGCTGGACCTGGACCATGGCCGGCAAGCCTGAGCAGCCGTCCACGCACCCTGCTCCCCCGAATCACGGTCATCATCATCATAACCATCATCATCATCATCATCATCATCATCATCAACATCATCAACAACAACAACATCAGCAGCATCATAATCAACAACAGCAACCTCAAGAACAACAACACCCTCAGCACGCACAGGGGATTCAACAAAATAGTGTTCTAGTCTACGTATCGGGGGAGAATTTTGCGTACGCGACGGCGGTCGGTCAGAATGCCGCCGCCGCTGCTGCTGCTGCTACCGCAGTCGGCTATCAGTCTCCGCAGCAGGCGACGTACGCCGGCATTCTGCCGCCGCAGGTGGCGACGGCGGCGGCGACGTTTCCCGCCAAAACCGCCATATACTGTAACGATAACAACGGCAGCGCCGTTGGAGGCTCGGCTAATAACTGTTGCCGGTTAAAGCCGCTCGAGTATGTATCTACCGATGGGGACTCGAGCCGATCAGCCCGGTCAATATCTACCGGGAATACGGAAGACGAAGAGGATTATGGAACGATCGTCTCGAACAACAGTTTACTTTACAGACAGACGAATCTGGTACAAGCGACAAGCGCGGTCACCGCTACTACTACGATGACGTGTGTAGTGTCGGCATGCGACAGCAAACATCCGGCGAACCGGAGTCCATTGGAAAACGATTCTAATAATACAGAAAACCTCGCAACAAACAACGTAGAGCCGATCTGCAGGGTGAACGCCGGTGAAATGGTACCTAATAAATTATTTCCATCGAGGATACACGGTGAGATTTATCCGGCCGGAGTGAGATTGGCAGACGGTTATAATAATAACGGTAGTAGGATCGTGCAGGGGAATCCCGGGGAGGGTTGCGTCAGTCTTTTGAGCGGTGACGATGCTTGTGTCGCGTACGTGCGACAAGGAAACGAACCGTCTCAAGCGTCCGCGAGTGTTTTTCAAGGCGACAGTGTCGAGCAACGCGTCAATATGGATGAGAAGAGCCGGCAACAGGACGGTTTCGATAATCAAACCGGCTCCTCCTCGCTTTCTTCGTCCGGTTCGAGCGTTGGTGTCGTTAGTGGTGGCGGTAGTGTTGTTGTTGTTGGTAGTGGTGGCAGTGGTGCGGCTAGCTGTGACTCTGTTCGATCCGATACCGGTGAATCGTCGACATATAGTAGCCTGAGCAGTCCCGAAAGTCAAAGTCAATCGGCACACGACGGTTTGTCTACCGCGACGGTTAACAGTGGCGGCTCGTGCGCGCAGCAGGCTGCGCGGCAACCGCCGCTCACGCGCATCAACAACTCGAACAATAACAACGCCGCGCAACAAAATGTAGTGCTGACGATGAACGGTAGTGCGGTGGTTACGCAGCAACAGCAACAGCAACAAGCGATTACAGTACCACGTGGATGGAAAAGGATATGCACCAACGGGGTCATCATTTATATCAGGTTTGTTTCTCGACCTAACCTTACTTATTTCGCTCGCGTCCAGTCTGCGTCGACTTTTTCCCTTTCTTTTCTTCTTTTTTCATTCTCACGCTAATCGTTCAAGAATGGAATCTACTGTTATTCTTAAAATATTGGGACACTATATATTGTTAGTTTAATGCATTTTCAAACAGGTTTTGCACTGCAAATTCAACTTTCTGCAAATCAAATGCTACTTTTGATTGTATTTTGTTCTAACCTCAAATCACAATTTAAAGAAAATTATGTTTTCTTGTAAATTGTAAGAATTCCAGGCAAGTTAAAAGTTGATATAACTGAAACCTGTCTAGAGACTACTCATTTAGTAAAAAGAATAGAATTGCTTTGATTTTACTTTACTACACAAGAGAAAGATGTACTGTTGAGTTTACATATAATGATTATTACATTGCAAAGTAACTAAAGTACCGTTATTAATTTGCCTTTGTGATAATTTGAGTAGGTGATTTATTTTTTTTTTTTTGGTTAAAACGTTTAATTATGAATTCCATATGTAATGAATTGGTAATTACCATTAAATATGTATTTTATGTACATCTTTGTAATACATACAATGGAATTTTGAATTTCTTAACAAGAAATTTCCATTTGGATTTATTTTTATTACAAGAGCTTAAGAAAACAACTTTGTAGAAAGACTTGATTTGCAGAAGGGTGAATTTGATTTACAAAAGGGTGAATTTAATTTGCAAAAGGGTGAATTTCATTTGCAAAAAGTTGAATTTGGAGTGCATAAAACCTGTATATGAGCCATTCACAGAGGCCAGACTGATTAAGTTCTTCAAACAAAATTTATTAAATTTATTTTATTTATGAAACGTTCAGCATTAATCATGTGCTGTGACGTTATAATTGAATGGCCCACGTGACATTGTAATATAAATTAATGAAAATCATGTCCACTTACTGTGTTATGAAAAACCAGCAAAAAGGAATATTTCCAATATTTATATTTGACTGCAATTTTCATTTGATCATATTTTTAGAAATATATTTCTTTTGCGTGTATTTAGTAAACTACTTATAAGATTGCGTTAAAATTTGCATAGTTTAAATTTAATAGCTAAGGCCAGAGAGAGTTATTTAGAAAATTTCTTTCCATTTTATTTACCTCTCATAAATAATGGCAATCTTAACGGTAGTAACCTTTTCCAACTTTCGTTGCGTGTTTCATAAATACTCCTTTACGTAGTATTATCGATTTTCGTACATTTCGAAGGAAAGGAAGTAATTGGTACATACACTACCGGCAAAAAGTTTCGAATCACCTCCCACTTTTCGTCAATATTAAATCTGCTGCTAATTTTTTTATAGATTTGAAGTTTATCTCAATTCTACATTTATCAATTTATCTCGTATCAATTGATTCGAACGATAAAAAATTCTCAAAGTCGCCGACTTTTTTCTGGAAATTTTTTGCGTAAATTGCAATGCTCGGTGATTCCAAACTTTTGGCCGGTAGTGTATATGTAGCGCATAATAAAACTTAGCAATTTCTACAAAAACTGCTGCTCTATATTATTCCTCATAAATTCGAATTATCTAAATAAAACAACGATAAAAATTCTACTAACTATCAGTGTAACTTACATAACTCATAATAACTCGCTGGACGCATTTTTCAAGCTGCCAGAAAAGATTTTCCGAAAATAATTTCTCAGGTTAGCGTCGATTGTTCGCTAAGTTACTAGACTAGTTATTTTTCACTAGTTACCAGCAGTCGGTTTTAATTAAATTTTCAAAAGCACTCCATAGAGAGGCTTAATACTGAAATTATCTAACACGTTTGCGGAAAAATAAAAAAAAGAAGAGAAAACACCGTTAAACGCATCTGCTATACGCATTTTCTGCGGGAATAAATGGAACGGTTGGTACGTAAAAAAGTTCTCTAGCATCGCGTTATTCAGAATTGACTTCACCGGGGTTTATCTTAATGGTTTGCGGGTTAGTAGCATCGATCCGCAGTTAAACGCTCCTGCTAGAACTTTAATTTCGCTAATGGAATTAAACTACGTCCAACGTTGAGCAAATAAGATTAGCGAAGCGAACTGGTAAATTAGGATAAAAACTCGGAGACACTGGCCACGTGAGAGATTCCGCTCGGCCATGCACGTGCGTGCTTTTAGGCAGTGTGTGCAGTTACAGAAACGGCATCGTTATTCAAAACTAAGAAAAAAAGGAAAAAACGACCAAGGAGCTTCGTTCTGATAATTAAAGCATCGGTCTTAACGAGCGCGAGAGAGGGTTTCATCACCTAAGCACAGAGAAAGCTACTCGTCTCTCCTCGGAGAAGATCTTAAAATGGTTTCCTGTGTCCCCTTTCCGTTCTTTGTAATCTTTCCCGACGTTCGGGTAAAAAACACGAATTTTCTGGGAGCCAAAGCCCTCTCTCTGTTGAACGCGCCCCCTTTTTTCCCCCCCGTGCTCACCCAGCAGCACGTGGTGGAAAGCGAAGGCGTCTTCCTTCTCCTAACCCCTCATTGTACTTTTATGGCTCTTTTCAAAGTCCGTTCGAGGGTCACTTTCATCTTTTTCCACCGCGCCATTTTTACGGCTGTCCCCGCCAAGATGCTACGTATCCTTCGCGTCGCCGTCCTTTGCTTTTTCCACGCCGCTTTTAGGGAAACGTTTGTCTCGCCCGAGCGAGACACGTGGAAATATTGCACGGATTCAATTTTTCCACCTCAACTACACGCGCTGGTAAACGAATTTCTTTTTCTGGTTCGTTGTACACAGTTCCAGAGAAATGATTTTTATTGCAAAATGTAGAGGAGAAGGTGTAAATATGGGCTGGCACTTGAACATGCATCAATATGTTGCAAATTATACATACAATTAGAACGACGCTATAAAATTAGAAACAAAATTCACGATGTAACCATAAAAGAAGGAAAAAGAAAGGCTAAGTTGTAACCAGTAAGGCATTTCAGTAGAAATTCCGTATTCGAACAAAGAGCATTATAATTACGGGGAAAAGTGGTGGATAACCGTTAAGTAGACGTAAAATCGCACTTTGTGAGCAAGCAGAAAAGATGGTCTCGAAGATTTACCTTACCCTAGGGAGGATGACTAGCTCGAGTGATGAGGCTGGGGTCCCGACAATCGCGCAACGTGATTTTACACGGATCACGCGGGATCAGCTGTGACGGGACACATCCACCTTTGTGTCGAACGAGGGAAGTTGATTCCTGGAGGTGTTGCTTGCCGCAAAGGGCATCGCCTCGTGGCGCAATCGTCCGCTTTGGCAGAAGAGGAGGTCTGACCTGGTCTGTCCCAAACCTCGTTAAAACGATCCTTCCTCGGCTGGCAAGAGTCACGGTTTAAATGACGTTTAAAGGGCCCCGACAAACAATACTCCTCTGCCTGGAACACCGAATGACCCTAGGCCCCCGTCGCGTGGTTCATCTTCTTTCTAAACTGAATCGACTCTTGCCCACATGCTCCTCCCACTGATTTATACTTTTTCTTTCTTTCTTTCTAATTAATCTTCTTGCCGTTTTCCATCGATTTTCTCCACCGAATCTCAGAGCGCGGAAGGAAATTATCCGTTTTCACAACACGTACACAGACGAAAAGTGAGGTAGGTTGCAGCTTAAAAGAGTGGAAATACCGTGGGGAGGAAGTATAAGGCCGGTACATAAATAGCGAGAAATGAAAGCACAGACCGATGAATTCATCTTACGTTCGAAAATTCTGCTAGCGAAGACAAATAGTTTTTGTCTTGCCGGATAAATCGACGATATATCTTTGCCGTGGGGGCAAGGATTCCTTCAAAGATTCTTAGGCTTCAGCATCTCTACGTCCAAGGCGATGTATGGCAGGACAGATTCTCACATCGGCTCGTGTACAGGAAGCGAAGGAATGGTCGGAAGGAAAGGGGGAGAGGGAGGGTGGGAGCATATATAGGAAGGGAAAAGGAATTTCGTTGAACCGTGCTGTTCGTGCGATCATTGATTTACGATGGTACGTCGTAAATACCACCGGTGATGTACGACCATGCCCCCTCCTCACCTCGCCCTCTTTCTCCTCCCTGATCCCTTATACCCCTGCGTACCTTCCCTTCCCACCTCCCTTCTTTCCCCTCGCGTGTTTCTTCTTCACTCTTCTTTCGCCTTCGCCACCGACGTTCCCTTTACGGACCTCTTCTTGATTTATAATACCTACAGGCCTGTTGTCTCTTTTCGTTTCTCTCTTCTCGTACGTATACCTCCTAGGTGTCCGGACTTGGTTCCCCTAACCTTTCTCTCTCTTCTCTTCTCTTCTCATCGTGCACACCGTCTCGTTGCCTCCACCAGCGTAGCTCCAGCTTTCTTTCACGTTCTTTCCTTTCGTATGCGCTCGTTCTGCTTCGGCTTGTTGCTTTTCGATACGGCTATAAGCTGTCTCGACTGCCACCCGCTATTCCCATTAACTTTGTACATCGGTGAAAAAATTTGCGATTCTTGGGAGGTTAGGTTTTGCTCGTGATTTCTTTATTACTGTGTACGTTGTTCTACTTTACATCTGTAATTTAGGTAATTTGTAGAAAGTGTCTGGTAGAAAGTAATTTGGATAGTTTGTTAAATAAGTTTCCTATTTAACCCTCCGTAGGTATAAATTGGGCAGTTCGTATCCGAGTCTCAATTTTTTACTGTTTTAAGCTTTCAAAAAATTGAAAAAAAATTCTGCAGCACTTGTCGACTATATTGTACGATTGTTCGTTGAGTCAGATGTTTCAAACTTTTGTGAATAAAAATGAAAGTTTCTTCGGAAGAAAGATCGGAGTGAAATTTCATTTGGGTCGGTAAAGACTCAGATTACCTACCGAGGGTTAATAATTTAAAGAACTGTTTTAGCTGCGTAAACGCAAATGTATGCAACGAATTTTCAAACGTGACTTTTCCCAAAAAATTCAGCCTGAGATAAACAAATTTTATTTTGATTTATCATTTATTTTTGTACGCTTGCAACGTGTGCGCCGTACTCGAAATGAGAATCGAACGGGCGATAAAACGATTGTAGATTGTCGATAAACGTGAGCGAAACGAATTAGCATCGTGGATAGGAAAATTAACGGCAATGAAATATTCACCTGACCGTCCTTGAGACCATTCGTACCCTTTTGCAATTATAATTGTACTTAAATGGGGAAATGGCCGTTGGAATTTCGCGGGCGTGTTAATATTTGACCCGTTTAGATGGATGTTTTGGCATGTTTATTTTTAATGTAAATCTATTTAAATTAGCGCTGTTCGCAATCTGCGAGATTCAGCGTAGATACTCGGAATCACGATTATTCCTACCGGAGCACTTTGAATATTCATTAGAATACTTACTTTGCATAGTGTT